GCGCCGACACGTTGGCAATTAATTTGTCAAGAAACAGGAACGGGTGGGTCGTGAAAATTCTATCGTTGCGTGTCCGACTTATGTATGAAAATATCGCGCCTTTTTACCGCATCACGCCACGAATGCTTTTTTAACGATTCCTGTTGTCAGCTGCAACGATAAATTCCCATTATTCTCGAAAAAGCTCCTCCCAACTCGGCCACGCGCCATGCCACATTTGTATAACGAATTTTCAAACAAATCTGTATTTTTTTTGCACAACGAGGAATCAATGTCTCTCTCTCTCTCTCTCTCTCTCTCTCTCTCTCTCTCTCTCGGGCGAAAGATGAAATCATTTTTGCGTTACTCATCTTTAAATATGCCGACATATTTTTATCTTATTAAATTTAACAGCGAGGTTTCTTTTGCGAAATTTCGAAAGCTTCAGAGTTTCTCCATCCACTTGTCGCGAATTTACTCGCATGGCGCGTGATCGCGTTTCACATAGAAAAGTGCTGTCTGATACCGAGAGAGATATAAAAATCGCGGAAATGATTTCGCTGCTGTAACAATATTATGCATGCAAGAACGTACTCACGATTGCGATCTACATGCATAAAACGTGTACCCTTCTGGCGCCGTATGCAGTTCGTGATTCCGAGGTTAACAGATCTCACCTTCGCGAATGTGATATCGAGGATATTGTCTAGCGAAAAATGATGTTAATAATTTACTTACTCAATTAGTCACCTAAATGACGAAGTTACGCTTACTCTCTAAATTCTTTAGAGTGCAGAAATCTTTAAAGAGTGAAAATTGAACTAATCTTAAAAAAAGAGTGGCTCAATTTTGAATCTTTAAGAATGAGATTCACTCTAAAAGTTTTAGAGAGTACACACATTCACAAATAAGTGCGAAATTGCACGTAATTTTTCTTCACCACAACGTTATAATCTTTTCTTTTTTTTTTTTTTTTCAAATGTAAGCATTTGTGAAACAAGCAAAATTCAAAGACAGCCGTGATTCTCGATTAAACTGATGAAACGATGCAGTTGACACAGCGATCCAGTCCCGATCCCCGAAACGGCTCAGTTGATTGACCTCGAAGCTAAATTTGTCTAGCGATCGCAACTAAACAGGCACGTACCTAGTTACTAGATTATCGCCATATTTTGGCTCACAGTTATTAGGTAAATCTAAATATATATATATATATACGGCCTGCTAAAATTTACATCAAATAGCTAAATGAAACTAAATGTTAATGAACTTAATGATTACTTTCACTTAGAAAAGTATTCTTTCCTTAAATAATTCCTTTGCTTTCGTTAAAGCCAAAGTATTTTTCTGCAAGCTTCTATCTGTAAAACATCCCTAATTTACATAAAATAAGTTCTTGAATTCTTAAAATTCACTTAGAATTCGTTACGCTATGTTTTAACTGTGTGGAAAGTCGATTAAACTACGAAGTCTACGTGCCAAGAAATTTGCAGCTAACAGTCGCCACTGTTTTTACAATGTGTGATGATTATGCGAACTCATTTTCATGAGAGCGAGAGACTGAGAGGGAAGTTGACCGAGTTTTCTCGGTCCTTTGTGCCCGTTTTGCCGCATCGCTAATCGGAAAACGGATGCAGCTACATTGACGGAGCGGAGTTTAGCCGATGAATCAAAACGTAGTTTGTGTGTCGAGTAATGTATCACGCGAGGCTCGCCGAGTATGTAAAGAAGCTGCTGGCATCGCACATAGTAGTTCGAACAAACTACATATTGATAGCGCGCGTACCTCTCTCTCTCTCTCTCTCTCTCTCTCTCTCTCTCTCTCTCTCTCTCTTCTGGCGACACGTGTCGCGGTGCATAGCAAGCCGAGTAAATGCATCTGTCATTAGAGCGCAAAATAAGCGCTACCGTCATCGGCTAGCTCGTCAGGAATTGGCCGAAGAGACAACTCGCTTCCCCCAATCGTCCCCCAGATTGGCGCAAGAAGAGACCGCGAGAGGCAGAACATTGCAAATTAATTCTGATTTCCCACCGATAGAAAAACAACAAAACTTTTTAATGCATTGATTGCCAATGTTTTAAATGAACATAAAAATAAATAAATAATATTTTAATCATTGGTTTTTGAATAAAATTTATTACTTTATCGCTACTAAAAAGAAACGTTTAAATATTATCTATGGATTATATGCGCATATTCTATGGAGAGATTGGTAAAAAATAAATTTCGTCGAGCCACATTGATTCAATTTGTGATAAAGAATTCATCAATCATTTCTTAAAATTTGTCATACTTATTTAAAAGTCACTCTGTATATGAATCTTTCGAGACTATACAAACATATTCATCGACATAACGAGTGCAAAATATAATTCGAGAAGGACCTCGTGTCCGTCCTTTGTAAGACATGTCCGTTCACCGCTATCCGTCACTACTACGATGCTGTGAATCGAAAAATATGGGATTCTGTCAGACCCTATGTATCTATATACGTAGGATCGAATCATGACACACACATACACACACACATACATATACACACATATTAAGAGATAGCGTAATGAAATTCATCAGTTTATTTCGTGACCGCACCATCATTAAGGCATCTCGAGCCAAACCGCCGACTTAATGAAATTCATTAATCCAGCCAGTGCATTCCGCAGGGAGATTCATGCGGACTCAAGGTCACTCAATGATCTGCATTCTCAAATAACAGAAAACTCCTTATCCCTTTTAATAGTCCTTTTAAACGGCGTTGCCATTCACTCCCTTTGAAGCTGTCGCGACGTGAACAGTTTTATCATACTTGATCTTTCTTCATTATACAACCTTCGCGCTGGATCCGCAAAGCTTACCGCGAGGCCTACACTGTAGAAATACTTTATTTAAAACTTTAATGCGAAACGTTTAAAATTGAAAACAATTTTTAAAACAACTGCGAAACATTGAAATAGTTTAAAATAGTTTGCGAGCTTTGGGCTTGGAAAATATTTAGATATACCAAAATATTTATATCATATATTATGTATAGTTAGATTGTTTCTTATAAACAATTATTTTTAATAAAAGGAAAAATATGACATAACATTTCACATTTTAATAAATACTTTAATATTAACTCAATTCTTATAATAATTATATACGGAGTAATAATTCTTAATCAACTAATAAATTTAACTAGAAAATAAATGCATATTATAATATAAATAAACATGATGTTATACACATCATGCACAAAATTTATAAAAATAATTGTTTATAAGAATTTAAAATCCAAATTCTTAAGCTTGATATTACTAATTACTTCTTTCATTCAACAGTTGTATAATGTAATATAGTATGATCTTGTGATTCTTAATTCAAGCTCTTTAATTTTCACAGAACTTGTTTCATACGAGAAATTGAGAAATTGAGAATAATAATAGAAGTGTCGCGATATCGATGTGCATTTCATTGAATGTCTTTTTATTTTATGATAGATTAAAACTTTCATTCCTTCTAAATTAATTAAACATTCGATAGAAAGAAAGTGAATGCCTTGCCGGCATCACAGACACGATGTTCGACAAAATCTAGTTTAAAAAATGTATCTCAATGTAAATTTCGCGATATGGTCGAACGTAAACGTTTACCGTAAAACCGGTGCGTGCAAAACTTCAAAATGGGGTCGATGTCGTTCTTCTCGAAGCTGCAACTTTTAAAGCACTTTTTGCCGTGCTGTTTATGAAACGAGTGTATTGGCTGAAACATCTGTCGCCGAAATGATCCAAATCTTGAAATAAGCCCGAACCATATTACACATCATGTTGAGCTTTGTTAATAATTTGGTGGATGGACAGTGAAAGATTGCGTGATAAATCTTAAAAAGACAATTTTTTTGTATATAACTTAAATTTTTGTATATCTTCGTCAATTTATCTTTTGTTATCTGTCAGAATTTAAATTAATAGATACAAAATAGGTATTAAGAAAACGTTAATTTCAGTAATATTAATTTTAATTTAATTACGTTAGTTTCAATATTAATTTAAGAAAAAAATTAATTTTAATCCTCTTTTCTTGCACATAACTTAATTTTTTAATATTATTTTGAATTTATTAATTATTATCTGTCAAAATTTAAATAGATGCAAAGCAAGTATTTAAACATTAATTTTAATCATCTTTCAAATTTGATTATAATTCTGATAATGAGTTATTATTTCGGGACGTAGACGCTTTTGATTATGAAAGACGTATTTAATATATTGAGTTACAGCAAAAGGAAATATAATATTATTTTCTTTTTTCTCTTTCTATCTTCTTACCACGTTTTTGCCACGATCAAATTTGTACTTTATATTACTATTTAATAATACTATTTAATATTACTATTTAAATGTTTAATATGACACAAAAATAAAAATCAGAAATGTCCATGTTTGAAATTCCGAGGATCACCAACATATTTATGTAAAGACTCGCCAAGTTAAACGACCTCGCAAAATGTTAGGCGCGAGAACGGGATAATCGTCTTATATAATCTCACCAATTTCCTCTGGACAGTGCAACAATTGCACGAATGTGATCTATAAATCAGAAATTCTTACGGATCTCTGAAAATCACCAAAAGACACAACGTCGCTATTTCTCATGTTTTATTAACGAAAAGAATCATTTGAATACACAGTGACGCGACACTAATCTTAATCTCAAATTTCTCTCGAAACCAGCACCTCTACCATTCTAAAAAAAAACATGGATCCTCCTCCAATTACATATTAAATGTAATCCGAGTTTCAGTAGAATGCTCATCTAAATCTTCGCGCGTTTCTTCAAAGCTATTCAAACGCACGACCAACATTAAGACATCTCATAGATGAATCGAAGCGACGATGAAGCGATAATCGCTTTCGTTAATTTTTGGCACCACTTCCGACGATTCTCGAAGAGGACGACTGCCGATCCCATCGTCAATTATCCCCTCGGGACAGGGAAATATAGGAGGATAGGAGGGGGAGAGGGGCAGAATCGTACTTACCACATATCTTCTTCGGCGGCGGAGCACGACGATTGCGTTGCGTATTACGTGAACCGCCGGGCGTATCCGCTCGTCATATCCGCGCGTACACTCGTACTCGCACTCGCACTCGCGCGCGACTCCGCTCCGCTTCGCTCACTGCTGCCGCGCTGCTTCGCCACCCGTGCGAGAAAAAATTCACCCTTTCCCTCCGCCTCGTTTCCGGCCTCTGCGGACCACTCGATCACGCCGGCCTCTCAGCCCGGCACCACTTCCGTTGGTTTACGCAGGGCGCAACGCACCCTCTTCGCCCGAGCAGTTTCGCTTCCACCCTTCCCGCACCCTCGCACGCGCGCGACGCGCGTGTGTATCTCACCCAACAACACCTCCCTCGTGGCGCTATGTACCTCCGTCGCGACCGCTCGCTACCTCCTGGACACCCGATACGAGAGCATCCACTGTACTACAACACCAACACCACCACTCACCACCACCACCACCACCACCACCACCACTACCACCACCACCACCACCACTACCACCACCGCTACCAGGCACGACGACCGGTATACTACTATGATGGAAGACGTGGGGAAAACTGAGCGCGGGCGCACCACCGTCACACGTTCCGCTACCACTCCTTTTCTCTTCTTCTATTCAGCTCTCTTTCTCCTCTTTTCCTCCCTCTCTCTCTCTTTCTCTCTTTTTCTTCTTCTCTTTTCCTCTTTATAGACTTCTCTTTCCATTCCTTTTCTCGTAATGTTCTATCTCCATCCTACTGCCTCCTTCTGCTATATATCTCGGTCTCTCAATTCTCTCTTGCAGAGACGCGGCCTCTCCTGCTTCGTATAAACTTATAAATAGATATCTAGGTGCGTTCTATTATATTTATATATCGCGGCTCTCTTTCTCGCGCATGCATGCTGATGAGAGGGAGAGAGGGAGAGAAAAAGAGAGAGACAGAGAGAAAGACAGCGTGAGCGCGACACCGCTCTCTTGCAGAGGTAAAGACCGATCCCGCGTGCGTGCGTGCGTGCGCGTTACGCGCTTCCTCTACATATACGGCATCCCCGAGAGGAGGAGCACCCTTCTCGATGTACTGGACTCTCTTCGCGAAGAGGGATTCCCAGCAATGAAATTCCCGCTCGGTGCGAGAGAGTATCCGGAGTATCCGGAGAGGAAAAAAAGAAGAGGAGCTGTCGACGCTTGACGACGACGTCGACGACGGCGTCGAAGAGGCGGCGTCTGCGATTGTCGAGTCGGATCAATCGTAGATTTCTTTCCCTTTCTTTAACCCTCGCACTCTCGTGATGATGAACGGAACGACGGGGAAATGTTCATCCTTTCGAGTCTTCTTCCTTCCTCTCACGATCCCAAAGCACGATCAAGCTCTTTACTTTCCTGTCCTCTCTCGCCTACCTTCCCTTCGACCTCGCCTCCCTTCGCGGCTCAAGCAACCCCGATGTCACTGCACCGCTCTCTGTTTCGCTCGAGCACCCGTACGGCCAGTGCTCCCTTCTCCTATATATACGCGCATTCCACCGTGTTGGTGGTCTCGCCCCGCGTACACGTTTCTCCTCGATGACGCGCGCTGGGAGAGTCCCAAATCCGGCAAACAATTTTCCAGCGCGGAGGTCGACGACGACGTCGTCCGACCGGAGCAGCCGAAGAGCGGAGAATCTGTTTTCCGCGGATGCGACGCACAGGCTGGACGGCGACAACGGCACACGACGACACTCCACGCTCTCCGCACTCGGACGATATGCCGCCGGCACGACGCCAGCGACGCCTGGCGTCGCGACGCCCACCCCCGCTCCCGTCCAGTGCGAGACGCCGTGAAGCGAACGCGTGCGAGCACTATATATCCGAGGGTGGCGATGGTGAATGTATTACCAGCCACCGTGACGAAGAAGTTAAAAGTCGCACCGTGGCGAATTTAAAGGGGGATGCTCGGAGAAAACTGAGACTAGTTTGCATTTTACTTGTCATATTTATTGAAACATTTATTTTCCGACTGTTCTCAATGATAATTTACAATCTCAACGTGAAACCTTTCTTTCCTCGTAATTTTCGCGTTTGCGTCTTTCAATGTCTTTTCTCGCGTCCGATATGTAAGTAGTTATTGCTAATAGAAATCAGACAAGTGGTAAAGATCATACAGGGAGCAGCCCGTGTTTAGTAGCACGTGATACTTAGGCTGCGTTCGCTTTGTCGCTCAGTAGCATCAATTATAGCGCTTGTAACTATCAATTATTCTTGTTTAATATTTACTAAACAACAAGGATGAAACGATACTTAAAGCGTTGCGAACGCCAAAGCAAACACAGTCTTAGTAGCAGACACAACGCAGGCAGGAATAAAACTTGGTATATTGTAACCTAGATTTGAAATTTTTTATCTTTCCATTCGGAAATTTAAACTTATATTATTTATTTAATTCATATATAAGATAATGATATTTAATATGAGATTAATTATTAATTTATCATTTATATAAGTATCAGGATCATTAAAAAAATTTATAACAAAATTTATTTCAGTTGATATAATATAATTATATACGATAATGCAATATAAGCAAATGGATTACATAACTGCAAAGTTACATAACTTAAAGCAAATTACACAATTATATAATTATTATAAATTTTTCCTTGAATAATTATTATTATCAATATCGTTGACAAAGCTGTTGCATTGGAATTTCTTCTATAATGAATTTGATATCGTTTGTAACAGACCAGAAATGTCTTTTTTTTTTTTATATAATACTTTCTTTATATAATAAGGAGTCTTTTATAGAGATAAAAGAAAATTGTACTTCTCTCCTGAGATTTTTGTCAGTTAGATCTCGTGAGATTGGTGCTAGAACGAGAGGAACAAAATAGATAGTAAAAATAGAAGGAAAATCAGCAAGATACATGCGCGAATCGACGGACTACGCGCGTAAGGAAAACACTCCCTCGGTAGAATGACAACGACGGCAATGGTCGGCGGAAAAATTTATTTTCGACCTATTTCAGTCGACCCACTTTTGCACATGCCGTGAGGGGGAGGAATCGCTGAGTTTACTCTCCATACGTAACTCGCGAGGCACAGAGGCGAATAATTTAGCAAAGGACGCTTCGCTCTTTGTCCTACATCATCCTTCGAAATCCTCTCACCCTTTACAATGAAACGTGATTATTGTTAATCCCTTCGAGAAGGAGGAGGAAAAGAGAGAACAAAAAAAGTAAAATTAATACAAATAAATACATACGTCAGCAATAGAAACGAACTGCACAGAATTTACACAAATTTTTGCATGGGATTATACACTGTCAAATTTATAGTGTGAAATTTAATCTAATTTAAGTCGCCACTGTTTCTACTCAATATATCGTTATTTTATACTAAAACAATGGATAAATTTGACATTGTATAATATCAATTTGATATAGCATCAAATTTATCGAATAGAAGCAATAGAGTAGAGGCAACTTAAATTATGAAATTTAACAGCGTAGAAAAAAAGATTTGTTAAAACAATTAAAAACTTCACTGATTGAGCAAATCTATAGCCGTAATATACAGACAATCAGTTTTTATGTTAAATTAGTAAAGTTTTACAACTGAAAAAATTAGCAACAAAGAATTATAGACAATGGCTGCATTCAGCAGAAAAAGCAACTTTGCAACTATTGTAAAATTCTTGAATATGATTGATTATAGACATTTAGATTCAGTGAGGAACTAAGGGATCAATCATATTAAAAAATTTTTACAACAATTGCAAAGCTGCTTTTTCTATTGAACGCAGCCAATAATTTATAATAGTGAATTTGTTAACGTATTAAAGATAACTTTTTACGAAAATCAGTCCAATATATAGATTAAAATTTTTAACAAAATTTTTAACAAAATGTGCTAGCTAAAATGTATACTTTTGCTAATGTATTGAAGAAAACTTGTTACTTTAGCAATTTTTATTGTAGCAAAAATTAGCTAAATTTGTATACTAATAATTGCTTACAAACATAATTTCTTTATTGAACCGTGAAATCTTTTTAATTATTTATAAATATTGAACTCGCGCAAGCTTTGCTAAATGAACCAATCTACTTTTTTCTGTGATTATTTTGATGTAATGTAAAATATAATATATATATAAAATCTAATTTATAGATAACTATATATCAAAATTTATTTTTTTAAAATCGAATATCTTGTTTTTTAAATATAGAAATTGCGATCCTTTTTATAATGACTTGTTAAAGCGTAGTGAATGTACGGTGAGCTTCATAAAAAGATAAATTTTAACGAGATAATCGTTTTTCTGCGAGTTTTGGCTTTTTCAGGTCTGACCCATTTTTAGGGGTGCAAATTCCATCACATCCTGCGGTATACGAGAACGGAATTTATTTGTTAAATGGGAGATGGAAAATCAGATAAGCTTGCTGCTTTATTTTCATCTCACGTACCAATATCTTGTTTCTGATCTTTTTACATCCTAAAAGAATTGAATCCATATATCTTTAAAGAAAAAATTTTTTTCACGTAAATTTAACACGTAAATATCGTAAGTAAATAGGCAATAAGTTAAGTAATAATAATAATAATAATAATAATAATAAACATTACATAGTAATGTTAAATTAAACAAAAATTTTATAAACAATAATGAAATGTTCTATTCAAACATAGTTTGTGGCAGATCGAGGAATATTATTATCATAATAAGATAACACAGAAAATTAAATTTAATATAATCTTATGAAATAAAATTGCACATTTCAGATGAAATTAAACGATAATTGTTTGTAGAAGAGAGTATACATTATGTCTTCAGGGAAATTAGGATAAAACGATAAATAGCGAAAGTGTCGCTTAACATTACGATTATCGCGTACATTATCGCCTATACATAAGAGATACGTATTTTTATAGGATGTAAGTACGATCGATCACACAATTACGCCGTAAGAAATATCAGTTTACGGACAATTTAAGCCTCTCTTTGGCTGCACTATCACGTGTTATCTCTTCTCTATACATTTAAGTATGTAAAATCGCGACATATTATTCGTGAAAAAAAAAAACATTAACAGTGTGATGGTCACGTGACAAAATAAGAATTATTTCGCAACTAATATTATTCAATATTTACAGTAAAAAAATCGATTGAATAAATATAATTAATATATTATTGTATTAATAATTAATAAATATAATTAATGTATTAATAATTAATATTAAAAATTAATATTGTATTCGATTAATTAATATGATCAGGAAAAATTTCAAATAATGAATTAAAATGCGTGTATATTAATTGCAATTAAATATTATAAATTAGAAAAAGCATCAAGTATTGCCGTCGCCGCCGGTGATAATATTTCAACGGCAAAATAAATTGATTAAAATCAATGCGTTTAATTGCTGCACTGTCATTTTTATTGTCTCTAACCTGCTTAAAAATATTGATACCAGCATTCATTTTGATTATTATCGATTTTGATTTATCAACATGAGAACGGCATT